ATCTATGCTCAAGCAGTAGTTCACCGTAATCAGAAGTGTGTGGACGCTGATGGTAACCACTTTGAGAACCTCTTGTAGTTGTAGAAGTCAAACATGACTTGTATTCATCTTTTGTTATTGGTATATATTGGGTATTACAATTTTAATAGTTTTTCCCTTAAAATGTGTATATTTTAAAGAAATACATTTTTTTGGCACCCTCTGTATGTATATGGAAATATATAGTTCTATCTCCTGTATTTTTTTTCACATAAATGGTGTATACTTTGTATGTATTCTGAAAATTTGCAAATGAAAGGAATGCCATATTTTGACCAAGAAGGTTTTTATCTACAGAAAGCAAGGATGGGATGTTTCAACATTAGAAAACTCCTGTCAGTGTAACTTAACCACATTACCAAAGAGGAAAAGCTAAGTAATCACTTCAGTAGCTATTAAAGACATTTAATAAAATTCAATACCTTCTCTTTAGAAATTGAGGCAGAGAAGCATTGGTTTACTCTCTATGCTGTTCTGAAAGTAGCGTGTGTGTGTGTGTGTGCGTGTGCGCGCGCGCGCACGCGCACACACACGTGAACATCACAAACTCAGCACAACTTAATTGAAAAATGAATAAAGAAAAATCATCTGTGATTGAACTACTGAAATTATGCATGTGTATTTTGTCAGAATCACTGTTTGTAATTTTTTTTCTAATAAACTTACTACATTTTAGCCATAACATTAAATTTGTTTCTCTAATAGTATGGAAGATTATATTTTATTTAACCATTCATTCATGTTACAAAATTAAAGTTATGCACATTTAAATTTAGTTACAACATTTACATTATTTCCCTAAGGTATTTCTTAGGATAGAGTTAAAATTTTGGGGTCAATGGATCTGTGATGTTTTTTGATCTCTATTGTGGATTTGCCCTTCTGAAAGATACTGTAGCAGTAGTAGTCTGTGAGAGAGTCTATTTATGTATGTAACATATTGACAGACAAAAAAAAATGGAGAAAATTATATAAATTGTTGTATATAAAGCAACCTGACGTAGCACATTTTTGTAGGTGCTTTTAAAAATGGCTCTGACCTGCTTTTTTTTTACTCCTCAGAAAACCAGGCAAACAAAACAATAGATGCTTCTTCTGTTAATAAGAAAGCAGCTGATAGTACATCGCAGGTAAGATTTTCCTTGTTTCAAATTGAAATTCTAATTATAGTACACAGGAGAATGGATTTCTATCAGTATTCTTTAATACAAGAAAATTATTCTGAGTGTGTTTTTTACAACTCTCCAAAGATTTTCAAACAGCTTCTCTGTAATATTTGGCAAGAAGTGAGTGTCTTTGCTTAGTAGTTCTCATAGAGATAATATTAGTTTATTATATTAACTAGCTGCTTGCATTATATCATTGACAGTCCATGTGTTTGCCTTTCATGTAGTGTAAGTATTCAGTCTACACGTGTGGTTTCCTTCTGACCCATCTTTTTAAGGATCCCCTCCTTCACCCACCCCAACACATACACAGAGGCACCAGTTTCGTTTCTTCAAAGTTGATCAGAAATAGCTTTCTGGAAAGAAAATCTTAGTCTTTCTGAAAGTTTATTAGCACTTTGCTGGTCTTGATATTTTTTCATGTTAAAATCTTAATGACCCAGGAATGGAGTAACTACTTTTTTCCTGTCTTAACAATGTTCTGCCTCCTTTCACTATGTTGCTTTAAGTATAATAGCTTTATAGAGACGTCATTAGGTTCCTGATAGTTTTCTTTTCTTTCCTTCCTCTTAATCTAGTTCAAGAAACTCACATTTTTTCTAAAAACACACAATCTTGAATAAGTCAGGCATGAGTAAATGACATGAATTTTAAAACAGGATATAATGATTTTTAATTATGACTGTTTTGCTTTAAAATGATGGATTTTTGACCAAAACTAGATAATATACCATGGTTTACAGATCAAATTAAAGAATTAAAAATATTTTATTTCATACATATTTTAGCAGTCTTTGTGTATGATATTAAAGATCACAATTGTGATTATTTCTGAGGCTATCTTGTGGGTTTTTGCTATATTTTCAATTAAAAGTATATGGAGTATTTTCTAGAAGATGTGATATAGAAAATATTGATTATTCATTGATTCTTATGTTACATTTATAGGAAGTATAGCCTTACTTTATAAGGTAAACCTAAAACTGAAACATGAATTTACAAATGTCTTTAATTTGCTTTGTGATTTCTTTTGTTTGGACAAGCTAAGTAACATTTTAAGGACAGGAAAATGGACATTGTAATGGCTGTGTTTTATCGTCTTAGAAATGGTGGTTCTTCTAGAGTTATACTGTCAATATGGTAGCCACTAGTCAAATGTACCTTTTTAAATTAAAATGAAATTAAAATTTAATTTAAATTAAAATTTCACTTCCTCTGCCACAGTAGCTCCATTTCAAGACCAGTTGCCACACATGTCTGGTGACTACCATATTAGAAAACACAGATATAGAACATTTTCATCATTGCAAAAAATTATGTTGGATTACTGACATGAACTATATCTAATACTGTAAAAATTTAAGTGAAATTAAAATGGATTAAAAAGTTGCTATAATTTTAAAATTTAAGAAAAATAAAAAACAAAACAATATAAAATCCAATTATACCCAACTGCTTATTATATTCTAGAGAATCCAAAACATTATGTTATTCCACACTTCACACGTTTTAGAATCTAAAACATTTTACTTTATACTGTACTATATAACTGACATATTTGATGAAATGACTTGTATCAGTCAACCCAAAAGTCACCTGAAACTGTGACTGTGTCAGACAGCAAAGACACAGTACAACCAAATATATTAAGCTCTCAGTAGATATTTTACTTGGCTTAGAGGAAGAGGAATTCAATACCAGAGAATGAAAAACACTTTCAACTTGCCAAGCAGTTTGACAAGGTGGCTAACATGCTAAAGTAATGCCTTGTCAAAAATAGCAAAGTTTCAGTTTTGAATGAGTGCTAGTTATGGATATGAATAATAAGTATGCAAGTTGCATTATATAATGAGAAACCATTATGGAAATATCTATGTGCTGCCAGTTATAGAACCGTGCTCTGCTGGCTTGACTTTTCTTGTATAAATATAATTTTTGTCTTTGTGCTGAATATCTCATTAATGTAACATTATTTTTTAAGATATATTAAGAAATGAACATTTGCTATTTGCCACTTACTAGCAAATAGAAAGTGGTGTGAAACAGCCTGTGAATCTTTAGAATATCACTTTCTAAGTACATGTGGCTAATTTATTTTTCCTATGCCAAATCTTACTTAGTTGTACTTCTGAACAATTGAAGTCTAGTATACAGGTTAGAAGGAATCTGGGTGGCTTGTATGGAAATGATTATTGTTTTAATCAGACCTAATTAGGAAATAATTAAATATGTAAAATATCTTTGTGTAGTTCTTGAATGAAGGTTTCTCTGATGTCCTCCAAATAAATATTTGTTAACTTATTTCACATGATGTATTTTTTTATTCATATATCTCATTTTATGTAATACATTAATATATTTTAAATAGTGAAAAATAAACTTATTCATTTATTCAAATTATCAGTATACATTGTAAAACAATGTAAAATTCTTTTTATTCTGCTATCTGTAATTATATTGCCATTTTGAGGGACTCAAGCTCACTCTCAGGGACTAAAGCTCACTCTCAAATTTGTTGATTTGCTAGAAGGACTTATAAGGCCCATAGCAGTTCATACTCGTGGTCATAGTTTACACAGCAAAACAGGTAGGGAGCAAAAATAACAGGAAAAATATATGCATCGAGTGGGGTTCAGAGAACTCAGGCACAGGCTTCTTAGTCCTCCGCTGTCAAGCATTGCATAGGATATGCTCTCTCTTATTAACTGCAGGGACATATGCCCTGGGAGTCTTTGCTCAGAGATGCTTCACTGAGACTCAAGGTCTGAGGTATTTTAGAGGGCTGGTCATATAGCCACATCTTTCTAGGTAACCAGCCATGACAGTCAGGACCCCAGCAGTAAAATCAGGTACACATCATCAGTCTAGATCAGGGGTCAGCAAACCGGCTCACGAGCCACACGTGGCTCTTTGGGTACGTACATGTGGCTCTGAAGTGAAATTGAAAATGAAAATAAAACTATCATAGTTTCATTTATAAAATTTTAAAAGGATATTATTCACATAATGGTGATTTCATTTGTTTTATGGCTCTCGAATAATTTTTAAACTGTTGCGAGGGACAGGATTGGCTCTTCNGAAGAGCGCAATGATAATACCAACATGGGCCAGTGAAGCAACATCCTCCACAACTAGACTGAAGAACAAAAGGACAGCAACTTGTCTGCTCCCCTTCCCTGATTCCCCAATAAAATCTTAAAGAAAAAAAAATCAAGAAAATAGTCTAATAAAGAGCCAGGGGAATGTTAACTGAAAATCTAGTTTAAGGAACATTATTACAGTTCTTTGACTAATTAACTCTTAGCCTTGACAATTCGGTCAAAGAGAGATACATGGTGAATAACAAAACTCTTATTATGGTTATTTAAGAGAGAGAGAGAGAGAGAGTGTATGTGTGTGTGTGTATGTGTGTGTAACATTTTGCTATTACCTGAGTTTTGAGGAATTTTTTATATGAAGATATTTCAAGAGAAAGTAAAAATGAAACTCCCTCATCTGCTTTTCATCTGAAGTTACCTTTTATATTCACTTGAAAATGAAAATGAGTTTCAAATCTAAAATAATGTAAGAATGTGAAAACAAAACAAAACAAAAAACAAAAAGAAAAAAATCTAAAAGAATGTAGTCTAATATTGTATATAAAATATTTGGTAGTAAATCACTGATGTTTTGGTAATGTCTTCAGTGTATTTTAATGCTCTACCATGTAGGATCATTAACCTGAAATTAGTTTTTTGTTAAGTAGTATTTCAGGAACTCCACAGTCCAAAATAGATACTGATTCAATATAAATGAAATAATTTAAAGATAGTTTTAAGAAGTAAATAATATATTTTGCTTACAAAAAGAACTAAGATAATCCAGATAGGGTAGGGAGGAATTGTAAGGTCCTCCTTTTTACTCCCTTAGCCTGGAAAAGCCTCTTTTAACAGGTAGATGTTTACTCTGATTTTTTTTTATTTATAGGTTTATATACCGGGGGTGCCAAAAAA